GGGTGGGTGAGTGGGTGAGTGAGTGGGTGGGTGAGTGGGTGGGTGAGTGGGTGAGTGGGTGGGTGGGTGAGTGGGTGAGTGAGTGAGTGGGTGGGTGGGTGGGTGGGTGAGTGGGTGGGTGAGTGGGTGGGTGGGTGAGTGGGTGGGTGGGTGAGTGGGTGGGTGGGTGAGTGGGTGAGTGGGTGGGTGAGTGGGTGGGTGGGTGAGTGGATGAGTGGGTGGGTGGGTGAGTGAGTGATTGAGTGGGTGGGTGGGTGAGTGGGTGGGTGAGTGGGTGGGTGGGTGAGTGGGTGAGTGGGTGGGTGGGTGAGTGGGTGAGTGGGTGGGTGGGTGAGTGAGTGAGTGAGTGGGTGGGTGGGTGGGTGAGTGGGTGGGTGAGTGGGTGGGTGAGTGGGTGAGTGGGTGGGTGGGTGGGTGGGTGGGGGAGTGAGTGAGTGAGTGGGTGGGTGGGTGAGTGGGTGAGTGAGTGGGTGAGTGAGTGGGTGAGTGAGTGAGTGGGTGGGTGGGTGAGTGAGTGAGTGGGTGAGTGGGTGGGTGGGTGGGTGAGTGGGTGAGTGGGTGAGTGAGTGGGTGAGTGGGTGGGTGAGTGGGTGGGTGAGTGGGTGAGTGGGTGGGTGGGTGGGTGGGTGAGTGGGTGGGTGGGTGAGTGGGTGGGTGAGTGGGTGGGTGAGTGAGTGAGTGGGTGGGGGAGTGAGTGAGTGGGTGAGTGGGTGGGTGGGTGGGGGAGTGAGTGAGTGGGTGGGTGGGTGAGTGGGTGAGTGAGTGGGTGAGTGAGTGGGTGAGTGAGTGGGTGGGTGGGTGAGTGAGTGAGTGGGTGAGTGGGTGGGTGGGTGGGTGGGTGAGTGGGTGAGTGGGTGAGTGAGTGGGTGAGTGGGTGGGTGAGTGGGTGGGTGAGTGGGTGAGTGGTGGGTGGTGGGTGGGTGGGGGGGTGGGTGAGTGGGTGGGTGAGTGGGTGGGGTGAGTGAGTGGGTGGGTGGGTGAGTGGGTGAGTGAGGTGGGTGAGTGAGTGGGTGAGTGAGTGAGTGGGTGGGTGAGTGAGTGGGTGAGTGGGTGGGTGGGTGAGTGAGTGGGTGAGTGGGTGGGTGAGTGGGTGGGTGAGTGGGTGAGTGGTGGGTGGGTGGGTGAGTGGGTGGGTGGGTGTGTGGGTGGGTGAGTGGGTGGGTGAGTGAGTGAGTGGGTGAGTGGGTGAGTGAGTGGTGTGAGTGAGGTGGGTGAGTGAGTGAGTGGGTGGGTGAGTGAGTGGGTGGGTGAGTGGGTGGGTGGGTGGGTGAGTGGGTGAGTGGGTGAGTGAGTGAGTGGGTGGGTGAGTGAGTGGGTGAGTGAGTGAGTGGGTGGGTGAGTGAGTGGGTGGGTGAGTGGGTGGGTGAGTGGGTGAGTGCGTGAGTGGGTGAGTGAGTGAGTGGGTGGGTGGGTGAGTGGGTGAGTGAGTGAGTGGGTGGGTGAGTGGGTGGGTGGGTGGGTGGGTGAGTGGGTGGGTGGGTGGGTGAGTGGGTGGGTGGGTGGGTGAGTGGGTGGGTGGGTGGGTGCGTGGGTGGGTGAGTGAGTGAGTGTGTGAGTGGGTGAGTGAGTGAGTGGGTGGGTGGGTGAGTGAGTGGGTGAGTGGGTGGGTGAGTGGGTGAGTGGGTGGGTGAGTGAGTGGGTGAGTGAGTGGGTGGGTGGGGAGTGAGTGAGTGGGTGGGTGGGTGAGTGAGTGGGTGAGTGAGTGGGTGAGTGGGTGGGTGGGTGGGTGAGTGGGTGGGTGGGTGGGTGAGTGAGTGAGTGGGTGGGTGAGTGGGTGAGTGAGTGGGTGGGTGAGTGGGTGGGTGGGTGGGTGAGTGGGTGGGTGGGTGAGTGGGTGAGTGAGTGAGTGGGTGGGTGGGTGAGTGGGTGGGTGGGTGAGTGGGTGGGTGAGTGAGAGGGTGGGTGGGTGAGTGGGTGGGTGGGTGGGTGGGTGGGTGAGTGGGTGGGTGGGTGGGGGTGGGTGAGTGGTGGGTGAGTGAGTGAGTGGGTGAGTGGGTGAGTGAGTGGGTGAGTGAGGTGAGTGAGTGAGTGGGTGGTGAGGAGTGGGGGTGAGTGGGTGGGTGGGTGGGTGGGTGAGTGGGTGAGTGGGTGAGTGAGTGAGTGGTGGGTGAGTGAGTGGGTGAGTGAGTGAGTGGGTGGGTGAGTGAGTGGGTGGTTGAGTGGGTGGGTGGGTGGGTGGGTGAGTGGGTGAGTGGGTGAGTGAGTGAGTGGGTGTGTGGGTGGGTGAGTGGGTGAGTGAGTGAGTGGGTGAGTGGTGGGTGAGTGGGTGGGTGAGTGGGTGAGTGGGTGGGTGGGTGGGTGAGTGGGTGGGTGGGTGAGTGGGTGGGTGGGTGAGTGGGGGGTGAGTGGGTGGGTGAGTGAGTGAGTGGGTGAGGGGTGGGTGAGTGAGTGAGTGGGTGAGTGGGTGAGTGAGTGGGTGAGTGAGTGGTGTGAGTGAGTGAGGGTGGGTGAGTGAGTGGGTGGGTGAGTGGGTGGGTGGGTGGGTGAGTGGGTGAGTGGGTGAGTGAGTGAGTGGGTGGGTGAGTGAGTGGGTGAGTGAGTGAGTGGGTGGGTGAGTGAGGGGGTGGGTGAGTGGGTGGGTGGGTGGGTGGGTGAGTGGGTGAGTGGTGAGTGAGTGAGTGGTGGGTGGGTGAGTGGGTGAGTGAGTGAGTGGGTGAGTGAGTGGGTGGTGGTGGGTGAGTGGGTGGGTGGGTGGGTGAGTGGTGGGTGAGTGAGTGTGTGAGTGGGTGAGTGTGTGAGTGGGTGAGTGAGTGAGGGGTGGGTGGGTGAGTGGGTGAGGGGTGGGTGAGTGGGTGAGTGGGTGGGTGGGTGAGTGAGTGGGTGAGTGAGTGGGGGGGGGGGGAGTGAGTGAGTGGGGGGTGGGTGAGTGGGTGGGTGAGTGAGTGGGGAGTGGGTGGGGGTGGGTGAGGGGTGGGTGGGTGAGTGAGTGAGTGGGTGGGTGAGTGGGTGAGTGAGTGGGTGGGTGAGTGGGTGGGTGGGTGGGTGAGTGGGTGGGTGGGTGAGTGGGTGAGTGAGTGAGTGGGTGGGTGGGTGAGTGGGTGGGTGGGTGAGTGGGTGGGTGAGTGGGTGGGTGGGTGGGTGAGTGGGTGGGTGGGTGAGTGGGTGGGTGGGTGAGTGGGTGAGTGGGTGGGTGAGTGGGTGGGTGGGTGAGTGGGTGAGTGGGTGGGTGGGTGAGTGAGTGAGTGGGTGGGTGAGTGGGTGGGTGAGTGGGTGGGTGGGTGAGTGGGTGAGTGGGTGGGTGGGTGAGTGGGTGAGTGGGTGGGTGGGTGAGTGAGTGAGTGAGTGGGTGGGTGAGTGGGTGGGTGAGTGGGTGGGTGGGTGGGTGAGTGGGTGGGTGGGTGAGTGGGTGTGTGGGTGAGTGGGTGGGTGAGTGGGTGAGTGGGTGGGTGAGTGGGTGAGTGGGTGGGTGGGTGGGTGAGTGAGGGGGTGAGTGAGTGGGTGGGTGGGTGAGTGAGTGAGTGGGTGGGTGAGTGGGTGGGTGGGTGGGTGAGTGGGTGGGTGGGTGGGTGTGTGGGTGGGTGGGTGGGTGAGTGGGTGGGTGAGTGAGTGGGTGAGTGGGTGGGTGGGTGGGTGAGTGAGTGGGTGGGTGGGTGGGGGAGTGAGTGAGTGCGTGGGTGGGTGGGTGAGTGGGTGAGTGAGTGGGTGAGTGAGTGGGTGAGTGAGTGAGTGGGTGGGTGGGTGAGTGAGTGGGTGAGTGAGTGGGTGGGTGGGTGGGTGAGTGGGTGAGTGGGTGAGTGAGTGGGTGAGTGGGTGGGTGAGTGGGTGGGTGAGTGGGTGAGTGGGTGGGTGGGTGGGTGAGTGGGTGGGTGGGTGAGTGGGTGGGTGAGTGGGTGGGTGAGTGAGTGAGTGGGTGAGTGGGTGAGTGAGTGGGTGAGTGAGTGGGTGAGTGAGTGAGTGGGTGGGTGAGTGGGTGGGTGGGTGGGTGGGTGAGTGGGTGAGTGAGTGAGTGGGTGGGTGGGTGAGTGGGTGAGTGAGTGAGTGGGTGGGTGAGTGGGTGGGTGGGTGGGTGAGTGGGTGGGTGGGTGGGTGAGTGGGTGGGTGGGTGGGTGTGTGAGTGGGTGAGTGAGTGAGTGGGTGGGTGAGTGAGTGGGTGAGTGAGTGAGTGGGTGGGTGGGTGGGTGAGTGAGTGGGTGAGTGAGTGGGTGGGTGGGGGAGTGAGTGAGTGGGTGGGTGGGTGAGTGGGTGGGTGAGTGGGTGAGTGGGTGGGTGGGTGGGTGAGTGGGTGGGTGGGTGAGTGGGTGGGTGGGTGAGTGAGTGAGTGAGTGGGTGAGTGAGTGGGTGAGTGAGTGGGTGGGTGAGTGGGTGGGTGGGTGGGTGAGTGGGTGGGTGGGTGGGTGAGTGGGTGAGTGAGTGAGTGGGTGGGTGGGTGAGTGGGTGGGTGGGTGAGTGGGTGGGTGAGTGGGTGGGTGGGTGGGTGAGTGGGTGGGTGGGTGAGTGGGTGGGTGGGTGAGTGGGTGAGTGGGTGGGTGAGTGGGTGGGTGGGTGAGTGGATGAGTGGGTGGGTGGGTGAGTGAGTGAGTGAGTGGGTGGGTGGGTGAGTGGGTGGGTGAGTGGGTGGGTGGGTGAGTGGGTGAGTGGGTGGGTGGGTGAGTGGGTGAGTGGGTGAGTGGGTGGGTGGGTGAGTGAGTGAGTGAGTGGGTGAGTGGGTGGGTGGGTGGGTGAGTGGGTGGGTGTGTGAGTGGGTGAGTGGGTGGGTGAGTGGGTGGGTGAGTGGGTGGGTGGGTGGGTGGGTGGGTGAGTGGGTGGGTGAGTGGGTGGGTGAGTGAGTGGGTGGGTGAGTGAGTGAGTGGGTGAGTGGGTGAGTGAGTGGGTGAGTGAGTGGGTGGGTGAGTGAGTGGGTGGGTGAGTGAGTGGGTGAGTGAGTGAGTGGGTGAGTGAGTGGGTGAGTGAGTGAGTGGGTGGGTGGGGGGCACGGGGCGGTGACTGACAGGGCGTAGTCATGGCAACAAGGAGGTGTTGTCCTTGGCGCTGGACCGGGGTACGGTCTCGCTCCTCCGTAGTCATGGCAACAAGGAGGTGTTCTCGTGCCGGGGTATCGCGCTGGCGGTGGACTGGTTCCGTTGCCGTGGTCACCGTGACATCACCGTGTTCGTGCCCAGCTGGCGAAAGGAGCAGTCACGGCCAGACGCCCCCATCACTGGTGGGGGAACACCAGCAGCAACAACAACAACAACACTAACACAACCAACACCAACAACATCAACAACAACAACAGCAGCAACAACAACAACACCACAACCACTAACACAACCAACAACAACATCAACAACAACAACAACATCAACATCAACAACAACATCAACAACAACAACAACAGCAGCAACAACAACAACACCACAACCACTAACACAACCAACAACAACAACATCAACAACAACAGCAACAACAACAACATCAACAACACAACAACAGCAACAACAACACCACAACCACTAACACAACCAACAACAACAACATCAACAACATCAACAACAACAGCAACATCAACAACAACATCAACAACAACATCAACAACACAACAACAGCAACAACAACACCACAACCACTAACACAACCAACACCAACAACATCAACAATAACAACAACAACATCAACAACAACAAAACAACACCAACCACAACCACCAACAACAACACCACCACTAACACAACCAACACAACCACTACCACCAACAACCAGAACAACAACACCACTACCACTAACACAACCACTACCACAACCACTAACACAACCACAACCATCACCACAACCACCAACAACAACACCACTAACACAACCAACAACAACAACAACACCAACAACACCACCACTACCACCACCACTACCACCACCACTACCACCACAACCACCACCAACACAACCATCACCACAACCACCAACAACAACAACAACACCACTACCACTAACAACCACTACCACAACCACCAACAACACGACTACCACCACTACCACCACCCCTCTCCCTCACCACCCCTCTCACCACCACCACCACAGACCAGCACCTCACCTCTCTCTCACCACCACCCTCACCACCTCACCACCACCATCACCACCCCCACCACAGACCAGCACCTCACCTCTCCCTGTCCCTCACCCCTCACCACCACCCCCACCACAGACCAGCACCTCACCTCTCTCCCTCACCACCCCTCTCCCTCACCACCCCTCACCCCCACCACAGACCAGCACCTCACCTCTCTCCCACACCACCCCTCACCACCCCTCTAACCACCACAGACCAGCACCTCACCTCTCTCTCACCACTCTCACCCCTCTCACCACCACAGACCAGCACCTCACCTCTCTCACCACCTCTCTCCCTCACCACCCCTCTCACCACCACAGACCAGCACCTCACCTCTCTCCCTCACCTCACCCCTCACCCCTCTCACCACCACAGACCAGCACCTCACCTCTCCCTCACCACCCCTCTCACCACCACAGACCAGCACCTCACCTCTCTCTCACCACCCCTCTCACCACCTCTCTCCCTCACCACCCCTCTCACCACCACAGACCAGCACCTCACCTCTCTCTCACCACCTCTCTCCCTCACCTCCCCTCTCACCACCACAGACCAGCACCTCACCTCTCTCTCACCACCCTCACCCCTCTCACCACCACAGCCCAGCACCTCACCTCTCTCACCACCCCTCTCACCACCCCTCTCACCACCACAGACCAGCACCTCACCTCTCATCTCTCTCTCACCACCCTCACCCCTCTCACCACCACAGCCCAGCACCTCACCTCTCTCACCACCCCTCTCACCACCCCTCTCACCACCACAGACCAGCACCTCACCTCTCATCTCTCTCTCACCACCCTCACCCCTCTCACCACCACAGCCCAGCACCTCACCTCTCTCTCACCACCCCTCTCCCTCACCACCCCTCTCACCACCACAGCCCAGCACCTCACCTCTCTCACCACCCCTCTCCCTCACCACCCCTCTCACCACCACAGACCAGCACCTCACCTCTCTCTCACCACCCCTCTCACCACCTCTCTCCCTCACCACCCCTCTCACCACCACAGACCAGCACCTCACCTCTCTCCCTCACCCCTCTCACCACCACAGACCAGCACCTCACCTCTCTCCCTCACCTCTCTCCCTCACCTCCCCTCTCACCACCACAGACCAGCACCTCACCTCTCTCCCTCACCTCACCCCTCACCCCTCTCACCACCACAGACCAGCACCTCACCTCTCTCTCACCACCCTCACCCCTCTCACCACCACAGACCAGCACCTCACCTCTCTCCCTCACCTCACCCCTCACCCCTCTCACCACCACAGACCAGCACCTCACCTCTCTCACCACCTCTCTCCCTCACCACCCCTCTCACCACCACAGACCAGCACCTCACCTCTCTCACCACCCCTCTCCCGCACCACCCCTCTCACCACCACAGACCAGCACCTCACCTCTCTCTCACCACCCCTCTCACCACCCCTCTCACCACCACAGACCAGCACCTCACCTCACCTCTCTCTCACCACCTCTCTCCCTCACCACCCCTCTCACCACCCCTCTCACCACCACAGACCAGCACCTCACCTCTCTCTCACCACCCCTCTCACCACCCCTCTCCCTCACCACCCCTCTCACCACCACAGACCAGCACCTCACCTCTCTCTCACCACCCCTCTCACCACCCCTCTCACCACCACAGACCAGCACCTCACCTCTCTCTCACCACCCTCACCTCTCTCCCTCACCTCACCCCTCACCCCTCTCACCACCACAGACCAGCACCTCACCTCTCTCTCACCACCCCTCTCACCACCTCTCTCCCTCACCACCCCTCTCACCACCACAGACCAGCACGTGCTCTCGCAGCTGGAGCAGGAGCAGGTGGTGGTGCTCACGCCATCCCGTCGTGTCCAGGGCCGCCGCGTCGTCTGCTACGACGACCGCTTCGTGCTCCGCCTGGCCCACGACAGCGGCGGCGTCGTGGTCTCCAACGACCACTACAGGGACCTGCAGGCCGAGAGGCCCGAGTGGAGGCGGCTGGTGGAGGAGCGGCTGCTCATGTACTCCTTCGTCAACGACAAGTGGGACACTCGCGCAGCTAGCTAGCTGCCTCGCTAGCTTGGTAGCTAGCTACTCACCTAGCTAGCTAGCTAGGTAGGTAGCTAGCTACTCACCTAGCTAGGTAGGTAGCTAGCTACTCACCTAGCTAGCTAGGTAGCTAGCTACTCACCTAGCTAGGTAGCTAGCTACTCACCTAGCTAGGTAGCTAGCTACTCACCTAGCTAGCTAGGTAGGTAGCTAGCTACTCACCTAGCTAGGTAGCCACTCAGCTAGCTAGCTAGGTAGCTACTCACCTAGCTAGCTAGGTAGCTAGCTACTCACCTAGCTAGGTAGCTAGGTAGCTAGCTACTCACCTAGCTAGCTAGGTAGGTAGCTAGCTACTCACCTAGCTAGGTAGCTAGCTACTCACCTAGCTGGGTAGCTAGGTAGGTAGCTAGCTACTCACCTAGCTAGGTAGCTAGGTAGCTAGCTACTCACCTAGCTAGCTAGGTAGGTAGCTAGCTACTCACCTAGCTGGGTAGCTAGCTACTCACCTAGCTGGGTAGCTAGGTAGGTAGCTAGCTACTCACCTAGCTAGGTAGCTAGCTACTCACCTAGCTGGGTAGCTAGGTAGGTAGCTAGCTACTCACCTAGCTAGCTAGGTAGCTAGCTACTCACCTAGCTGGGTAGCTAGCTACTCACCTAGCTAGCCACTCAGCTAGCTAAGTATCTAGCTACCTAGTTAGCTAGGTAGCTAGCTAGGTAGCTACCTACTCACCTAGCTAGCCACTCAGCTAGCTAAGTAGCTAGCTAGGTAGCTAGCTAGGTAGCTAGCGACTCACCTAGCTAGCCACTCAGCTAGCTACGACGACCGCTTCGTGCTCCGCCTGGCCCACGACAGCGGCGGCGTCGTGGTCTCCAACGACCACTACAGGGACCTGCAGGCCGAGAGGCCCGAGTGGAGGCGGCTGGTGGAGGAGCGGCTGCTCATGTACTCCTTCGTCAACGACAAGTGGGACACTCGCGCAGCTAGCTAGCTACTCACCTAGCTTGGTAGCTAGCTACTCACCTAGCTAGCTAGGTAGGTAGCTAGCTACTCACCTAGCTAGGTAGCCACTCAGCTAGCTAGCTAGGTAGCTACTCACCTAGCTAGCTAGGTAGCTAGCTACTCACCTAGCTAGCTAGGTAGCTAGCTACTCACCTAGCTAGCTAGCTACTCACCTAGCTAGCTAGGTAGCTAGCTACTCACCTAGCTAGCTAGCTAACTACCTAGCTAGGTAGCTAGCTACTCACCTAGCTAGCTAGGTAGGTAGCTAGCTAGGTAGCTAGCGACTCACCTAGCTAGGTAGCTAGATACTCACCTAGCTAGGTAGCTAGCTACTCACCTAGCTAGCCACTCAGCTAGCTACGACGACCGCTTCGTGCTCCGCCTGGCCCACGACAGCGGCGGCGTCGTGGTCTCCAACGACCACTACAGGGACCTGCAGGCCGAGAGGCCCGAGTGGAGGCGGCTGGTGGAGGAGCGGCTGCTCATGTACTCCTTCGTCAACGACAAGTGGGACACTCGCCCAGCTAGCTAGCTCCCTCGCTAGCTTGGTAGCTAGTTACTCACCTAGCTAGCTAGCTAGGTAGCTAGCTACTCACCTAGCTAGCCACTCAGCTACCTAGCTAGGTAGCTACTCACCTAGCTAGGTAGCTAGCTTGGTAGCTAGCTACTCACCTAGCTAGCTAGGTAGGTAGCTAGCTACTCACCTAGCTAGGTAGCCACTCAGCTAGCTAGCTAGGTAGCTACTCACCTAGCTAGCTAGGTAGCTAGCTACTCACCTAGCTAGCTAGGTAGCTAGCTACTCACCTAGCTAGCTAGCTACTCACCTAGCTAGCTAGGTAGCTAGCTACTCACCTAGCTAGCTACTCACCTAGCTAGGTAGGTAGCTAGCTACTCACCTAGCTAGCTAGGTAGCTAGCTACTCACCTAGCTAGGTAGCTAGTTACTCACCTAGCTAGGTAGCTAGCTACTCAACTAGCTGGGTAGCTAGCTACTCACCTAGCTAGCCACTCAGCTAGCTACGACGACCGCTTCGTGCTCCGCCTGGCCCACGACAGCGGCGGCGTCGTGGTCTCCAACGACCACTACAGGGACCTGCAGGCCGAGAGGCCCGAGTGGAGGCGGCTGGTGGAGGAGCGGCTGCTCATGTACTCCTTCGTCAACGACAAGTGGGACACTCGCGCAGCTAGCTAGCTACTCACCTAGCTTGGTAGCTAGCTACTCACCTAGCTAGCTAGGTAGGTAGCTAGCTACTCACCTAGCTAGGTAGCCACTCAGCTAGCTAGCTAGGTAGCTACTCACCTAGCTAGCTAGGTAGCTAGCTACTCACCTAGCTAGCTAGGTAGCTAGCTACTCACCTAGCTAGCTAGCTACTCACCTAGCTAGCTAGGTAGCTAGCTACTCACCTAGCTAGCTAGCTACTCACCTAGCTAGCTAGTTAGCTACTCACCTAGCTAGCTAGTTAGCTACTCACCTAGCTAGCTAGGTAGCTAGCTACTCACCTAGCTAGCTAGCTACTCACCTAGCTAGCTAGGTAGCTAGCTACTCACCTAGCTAGCTAGCTACTCACCTAGCTAGCTAGGTAGCTAGCTACTCACCTAGCTAGCTAGCTAACTACCTAGCTAGGTAGCTAGCTACTCACCTAGCTAGCTAGGTAGGTAGCTAGCTAGGTAGCTAGCGACTCACCTAGCTAGGTAGCTAGATACTCACCTAGCTAGGTAGCTAGCGACTCACCTAGCTAGCCACTCAGCTAGCTACGACGACCGCTTCGTGCTCCGCCTGGCCCACGACAGCGGCGGCGTCGTGGTCTCCAACGACCACTACAGGGACCTGCAGGCCGAGAGGCCCGAGTGGAGGCGGCTGGTGGAGGAGCGGCTGCTCATGTACTCCTTCGTCAACGACAAGTGGGACACTCGCGCAGCTAGCTAGCTACTCACCTAGCTTGGTAGCTAGCTACTCACCTAGCTAGCTAGGTAGGTAGCTAGCTACTCACCTAGCTAGGTAGCCACTCAGCTAGCTAGCTAGGTAGCTACTCACCTAGCTAGCTAGGTAGCTAGCTACTCACCTAGCTAGCTAGGTAGCTAGCTACTCACCTAGCTAGCTAGCTACTCACCTAGCTAGCTAGGTAGCTAGCTACTCACCTAGCTAGCTACTCACCTAGCTAGGTAGGTAGCTAGCTACTCACCTAGCTAGCTAGGTAGCTAGCTACTCACCTAGCTAGGTAGCTAGTTACTCACCTAGCTAGGTAGCTAGCTACTCAACTAGCTAGGTAGCTAGCTACTCACCTAGCTAGGTAGCTAGCTACTCACCTAGCTAGGTAGCTAGCGACTCACCTAGCTAGCCACTCAGCTAGCTACGACGACCGCTTCGTGCTCCGCCTGGCCCACGACAGCGGCGGCGTCGTGGTCTCCAACGACCACTACAGGGACCTGCAGGCCGAGAGGCCCGAGTGGAGGCGGCTGGTGGAGGAGCGGCTGCTCATGTACTCCTTCGTCAACGACAAGTGGGACACTCGTGCAGCTAGCTAGCTCCCTCGCTAGCTTGGTAGCTAGGTAGCTAGCTACTCACCTAGCTAGCTAGGTAGGTAGCTAGCTACTCACCTAGCTAGGTAGCTAGCTACTCACCTAGCTGGGTAGCTAGGTAGGTAGCTAGCTACTCACCTAGCTAGCTAGGTAGCTAGCTACTCACCTAGCTGGGTAGCTAGCTACTCACCTAGCTAGCCACTCAGCTAGCTAAGTAGCTAGTTACCTAGTTAGCTAGGTAGCTAGCTAGGTAGCTACCTACTCACCTAGCTAGCCACTCAGCTAGCTAAGTAGCTAGCTAGCTAGGTAGCTAGCTAGGTAGCTAGCGACTCACCTAGCTAGCCACTCAGCTAGCTACGACGACCGCTTCGTGCTCCGCCTGGCGCACGACAGCGGCGGCGTCGTGGTCTCCAACGACCACTACAGGGACCTGCAGGCCGAGAGGCCCGAGTGGAGGCGGCTGGTGGAGGAGCGGCTGCTCATGTACTCCTTCGTCAACGACAAGTGGGACACTCGCGCAGCTAGCTAGCTACTCACCTAGCTTGGTAGCTAGCTACTCACCTAGCTAGCTAGGTAGGTAGCTAGCTACTCACCTAGCTAGGTAGCCACTCAGCTAGCTAGCTAGGTAGCTACTCACCTAGCTAGCTAGGTAGCTAGCTACTCACCTAGCTAGCTAGGTAGCTAGCTACTCACCTAGCTAGCTAGCTACTCACCTAGCTAGCTAGGTAGCTAGCTACTCACCTAGCTAGCTAGCTACTCACCTAGCTAGCTAGTTAGCTACTCACCTAGCTAGCTAGGTAGCTAGCTACTCACCTAGCTAGCTAGCTACTCACCTAGCTAGCTAGGTAGCTAGCTACTCACCTAGCTAGCTAGCTACTCACCTAGCTAGCTAGGTAGCTAGCTACTCACCTAGCTAGCTAGCTAACTACCTAGCTAGGTAGCTAGCTACTCACCTAGCTAGCTAGCTAGGTAGGTAGCTAGCTAGGTAGCTAGCTACTCACCTAGCTAGGTAGCCACTCAGCTAGCTAGGTAGCTAGCTACCCAGCTAGCTACTCAACTAGCTGGGTAGCTAGCTACTCACCTAGCTAGCCACTCAGCTAGCTACGACGACCGCTTCGTGCTCCGCCTGGCCCACGACAGCGGCGGCGTCGTGGTCTCCAACGACCACTACAGGGACCTGCAGGCCGAGAGGCCCGAGTGGAGGCGGCTGGTGGAGGAGCGGCTGCTCATGTACTCCTTCGTCAACGACAAGTGGGACACTCGTGCAGCTAGCTAGCTCCCTCGCTAGCTTGGTAGCTAGGTAGCTAGCTACTCACCTAGCTAGCTAGGTAGGTAGCTAGCTACTCACCTAGCTAGGTAGCTAGCTACTCACCTAGCTGGGTAGCTAGGTAGGTAGCTAGCTACTCACCTAGCTAGCTAGGTAGCTAGCTACTCACCTAGCTGGGTAGCTAGCTACTCACCTAGCTAGCCACTCAGCTAGCTAAGTAGCTAGTTACCTAGTTAGCTAGGTAGCTAGCTAGGTAGCTACCTACTCACCTAGCTAGCCACTCAGCTAGCTAAGTAGCTAGCTAGCTAGGTAGCTAGCTAGGTAGCTAGCGACTCACCTAGCTAGCCACTCAGCTAGCTACGACGACCGCTTCGTGCTCCGCCTGGCCCACGACAGCGGCGGCGTCGTGGTCTCCAACGACCACTACAGGGACCTGCAGGCCGAGAGGCCCGAGTGGAGGCGGCTGGTGGAGGAGCGGCTGCTCATGTACTCCTTCGTCAACGACAAGTGGGACACTCGCGCAGCTAGCTAGCTCCCTCGCTAGCTTGGTAGCTAGCTACTCACCTAGCTAGGTAGCTAGGTAGCTAGCTACTCACATAGCTAGCTAGGTAGGTAGCTAGCTACTCACCTAGCTAGGTAGCTAGCTACTCACCTAGCTGGGTAGCTAGGTAGGTAGCTAGCTACTCACCTAGCTAGCTAGGTAGCTAGCTACTCACCTAGCTGGGTAGCTAGCTACTCACCTAGCTAGCCACTCAGCTAGCTAAGTAGCTAGCTACCTAGTTAGCTAGGTAGCTAGCTAGGTAGCTACCTACTCACCTAGCTAGCCACTCAGCTAGCTAAGTAGCTAGTTACCTAGTTAGCTAGGTAGCTAGCTAGGTAGCTACCTACTCACCTAGCTAGCCACTCAGCTAGCTAGGTAGCTAGCTAGCTAGGTAGCTAGCTAGGTAGCTAGCGACTCACCTAGCTAGCCACTCAGCTAGCTACGACGACCGCTTCGTGCTCCGCCTGGCCCACGACAGCGGCGGCGTCGTGGTCTCCAACGACCACTACAGGGACCTGCAGGCCGAGAGGCCCGAGTGGAGGCGGCTGGTGGAGGAGCGGCTGCTCATGTACTCCTTCGTCAACGACAAGTGGGACACTCGCGCAGCTAGCTAGCTGCCTCGCTAGCTTGGTAGCTAGCTACTCACCTAGCTACCTAGCTAGGTAGGTAGCTAGCTACTCACCTAGCTAGGTAGGTAGCTAGCTACTCACCTAGCTAGCTAGGTAGCTAGCTACTCACCTAGCTAGGTAGCTAGCTACTCACCTAGCTAGGTAGCTAGCTACTCACCTAGCTAGCTAGCTAGGTAGGTAGCTAGCTACTCACCTAGCTAGGTAGCCACTCAGCTAGCTAGGTAGCTAGCTATTCACCTAGCTAGCTAGGTAGCTACCTACTCACCAAGCTAGGTAGCTACTCACAGAGCTAGGTAGCTAGTTACTCACCTAGCTAGCCACTCAGCTACCTAACTAGCTACCTAGCTAGCTACCTAGTTAGCTACCTAGCTAGCTAGGTAGCTAGCGACTCACCTAGCTAGCCACTCAGCTAGATAAGTAGCTAGCTACCTAGCTACCTAGTTAGCTAGGTAGCTAGCTAGGTAGCTAGCGACTCACCTAGCTAGCCACTCAGCTAGCTACGACGACCGCTTCGTGCTCCGCCTGGCCCACGACAGCGGCGGCGTCGTGGTCTCCAACGACCACTACAGGGACCTGCAGGCCGAGAGGCCCGAGTGGAGGCGGCTGGTGGAGGAGCGGCTGCTCATGTACTCCTTCGTCAACGACAAGTGGGACACTCGTGCAGCTAGCTAGCTGCCTCGCTAGCTTGGTAGCTAGTTACTCACCTAGCTAGGTAGCTAGGTGAGTAGCTAGCTACTCACCTAGCTAGCCACTCAGCTACCTAGCTAGGTAGCTACTCACCTAGCTAGGTAGCTAGCTTGGTAGCTAGCTAGGTAGCGAGCTACTCACCTAGCTGGGTAGCTAGCTACTCACCTAGCTAGGCGAGTGGCTAGCTAGCTAGCGGCTGCTCATGTACTCCTTCGTCAACGACAAGTGGGACACTCGCCCAGCTAGCTAGCTCCCTCGCTAGCTTGGTAGCTAGTTACTCACCTAGCTAGGTAGCCACTCAGCTAGCTAGATAGCTAGCTACTCACCTAGCTAGCTTGCTAGGTGTGTAGCTAGCTAGGTAGCTACTCACCTAGCTGGGTAGCTAGCTACTCACCTAGCTAGTGGCTAGCTAGGTAGCGGCTGCTCATGTACTCCTTCGTTAACGACAAGTGGGACACTCGTGCAGCTAGTTAGCTGCCTCGCTAGCTTGGTAGCTTGGTAGCTAGCTACTCACCTAGCTTGGTAGCTAGGTAGCTAGCTAGGTAGCTACCTAGCTACCTAGCTAGGTAGCTACCTAGCTAGCTAGCTAGGTAGCTAGCTTGGTAGCTAGCTACTCACCTAGCTACCTAGCTAGCTTGGTAGCTAGCTACCTAGCTAGCTAGGTAGCTAGCTTGGTAGCTAGCTTGGTAGCTAGCTACTCACCTAGCTACCTAGCTAGCTTGGTAGCTAGCTAGGTGAGTAGCTAGCTACCTAGCTAGGTAGCTAGCTACTCACCTAGCTAGCTCGCCACTCACCTAGCTAACTAGCCATTCACCTAGCTATCTAGCCACTCACCTTGCTAGCTAGCAACTCGCCTAGCTAGCTAGCCACTCACCTAGCGAGCTAGCCACTCACCTAGCTAGCTTGCCACTCGCCTAGCTAGCTAACTAGCCACTCACCCATTCACCCACTCACCCACTCACCACCCCTCTGCCCCCAGGTTCATGCCCCCTGACGACCCGCTGGGCCGCCATGGGCCCAGCCTGGACAACTTCCTGCGTGTGCAGCCGCTGCTGCTGCTGCTGCCGGCCAGCAGGAGGCAACCTTGCCCCTACGGTGTGTTCTACCCCCTAGCTAGACTACCCCCTAGCTGGACTACCCCCTAGCTGGACTACCCCCTAGCTAGACTACCCCCTAGCTAGACTACCCCCTAGCTAGGCTACCCCCTAGCTAGACTACCCCCTAGCTAGACTACCCCCTAGCTAGACTACCCCCTAGCTAGACTACCCCCTAGCCAGACTACCCCCTAGCTGGACTACCCCCTAGCTGGACTACCCCCTAGCTGGACTACCCCCTAGCTGGACTACCCCCTAGCTAGACTACCCCCTAGCTAGACTACCCCCTAGCTAGGCTACCCCCTAGCTAGACTACCCCCTAGCTAGACCTACCCCCTAGCTAGACTACCCCCTAGCTAGACTACCCCCTAGCCAGACTACCCCCTAGCTGGACTACCCCCTAGCTGGACTACCCCCTAGCTGGACTACCCCCTAGCTAGACTACCCCCTAGCTAGACTACCCCCTAGCTAGACTACCCCCTAGCTGGACTACCCCCTAGCTGGACTACCCCCTAGCTAGACTACCCCCTAGCTAGACTACCCCCTAGCTAGACTACCCCCTAGCTAGACTACCCCCTAGCTAGACTACCCCCTAGCTAGACTACCCCCTAGCCAGACTACCCCCTAGCTAGACTACCCCCTAGCTAGACTACCCCCTAGCTAGACTACCCCCCTAGCTAGACTACCCCCTAGCTAGACTACCCCCTAGCTAGAATACCCCCTAGCTAGACTACCCTCTAGCTGGACTACTCCCTAGCTAGACTACCCCCTAGCTAGACTACCCCCTAGCTAGAATACCCCCTAGCTAGACTACTCCCTAGCTAGACTACCCCCTAGCTAGACTACCCCCTAGCTAGACTACCCCCTAGCTAGACTACCCCCTAGCTAGACTACCCCCTAGCTGGACTACCCCCTAGCTAGACTACCCCCTAGCTAGACTACCCCCTAGCTAGACTACCCCCTAGCTAGACTACTCCCTAGTTAGACTACCCCCTAGCTAGACTACCCCCTAGCTAGACTACCGCCTAGCTAGACTACCCCTAGCTAGACTGCCCCCTAGCTAGACTACCCCCTAGCTAGACTACCCCCTAGCTAGACTACCCCCTAGCTAGACTACCCCCTAGCCAGACTACCCCCTAGCTGGACTACCCCCTAGCTAGACTACCCCCTAGCTAGACTACCCCCTAGCTAGACTACCCCCTAGCTAGACTACCCCCTAGCTAGACTACCCCCTAGCTAGACTACCCCCTAGCCAGACTACCCCCTAGCTAGACTACCTCCTAGCTAGACTACCCCCTAGCTAGACTACCCCCTAGCTAGACTACCCCCTAGCTAGACTACCCCCTAGCTAGACTACCCCCTAGCTAGAATACCCCCTAGCTAGACTACCCTCTAGCTGGACTACTCCCTAGCTAGACTACCTCCTAGCTAGACTACCCCCTAGCTAGAATACCCCCTAGCTAGACTACTCCCTAGCTAGACTACCCCCTAGCTAGACTACCCCCTAGCTAGACTACCCCCTAGCTAGACTACCCCCTAGCTAGACTACCCCCTAGCTGGACTACCCCCTAGCTAGACTACCCCCTAGCTAGACTACCCCCTAGCTAGACTACCCCCTAGCTAGACTACTCCCTAGCTAGACTACCCCCTAGCTAGACTACCCCCTAGCTAGACTACCGCCTAGCTAGACTACCCCCTAGCTAGACTGCCCCCTAGCTAGACTACCCCCTAGCTAGACTACCCCCTAGCTAGACTACCCCCTAGCTAGACTACCCCCTAACCAGACTACCCCTAGCTGGACTACCCCCTAGCTAGACTACCCCCTAGCTAGACTACCCCCTAGCTAGTCTACCCCCTAGCTAGACTACCCCCTAGCTAGACTACTCCCTAGCTAGACTACCCCCTAGCTAGACTACCCCCTAGCTAGACTACCCCCTAGCTAGACTACCCCCAAGCTAGACTACTCCCTAGCTAGACTACCCCCTAGCTAGACTACCCCCTAGCTAGACTACCCCCTAGCTAGACTACCCCCTAGCTAGACTACTCCCTAGCTAGACTACCCCCCTAGCTAGACTACCCCCTAGCTAGACTACCCCCTAGCTAGACTACCCCCTAGCTAGACTACCCCCTAGCTAGACTACCCCCTAGCTAGACTACCCCCTAGCTAGACTACCCCCTAGCTAGACTACTCCCTAGCTAGACTACCCCCTAGCTAGACTACCCCCTAGCTAGACTACCCCCTAGCTAGACTACTCCCTAGCTAGACTACCCCCTAGCTAGACTACCCCCTAGCTAGACTACCCCCTAGCTAGACTACCCCCTAGCTAGACTACCCCCTAGCTAGACTACCCCCTAGCTAGACTACCCCCTAGCTAGACTGCCCCCTAGCTAGACTGCCCCCTAGCTAGACTACCCCCTAGCTAGACTACCCCCTAGCTAGACTACCCCCTAGCTAGACTACCCCCTAGCTAGACTACTCCCTAGCTAGACTACCCCCTAGCTAGACTACCCCCTAGCTAGACTACCCCCTAGCTAGACTACCCCCTAGCTAGACTACCCCCTAGCTAGACTACACCCAAGCTAGACTACCCCCTAGCTAGACTAACCCCCTAGCTAGACTACCCCCTAGCTAGACTACTCCCTAGCTAGACTACCCCCTAGCTAGACTACCCTCTAGCTAGACTACCCCCTAGCTAGACTACCCCCTAGCTAGACTACCCCCTAGCTAGACTACCCCCTAGCTAGACTACTCCCTAGCTAGACTACCCCATAGCTAGACCACCCCCTAGCCAGACTACCCCCTAGCCAGACTACCCCCTAGCCAGACTACCCCCTAGCTAGAATACCCCCTAGCTAGACTACCCTCTAGCTGGACTACTCCCTAGCTAGACTACCCCCTAGCTAGACTACCCCCTAGCTAGACTACCCCCTAGCTAGACTACCCCCTAGCTGGACTACCCCCTAGCTAGACTACCCCCTAGCTAGACTACCCCCTAGCTAGACTACCCCCTAGCTAGACTACTCCCTAGCTAGACTACCCCCTAGCTAGACTACCCCCTAGCTAGACTACCGCCTAGCTAGACTACCCCCTAGCTAGACTGCCCCTAGCTAGACTACCCCCTAGCTAGACTACCGCCTAGCTAGACTACCCCCTAGCTAGACTACCCCCTAACCAGACTACCCCCTAGCTGGACTACCCCCTAGCTAGACTACCCCCTAGCTAGACTACCCCCTAGCTAGACTACCCCCTTGCTAGACTACCCCCTAGCTAGACTACTCCCTAGCTAGACTACCCCTAGCTAGACTACCCCTAGCTAGACTACCCCCTAGCTAGACTACCCCCTAGCTAGACTACCCCCTAGCTAGACTACTCCCTAGCTAGACTACCCCCTAGCTAGACTACCCCCTAGCTAGACTACCCCCTAGCTAGACTACCCCCTAGCTAGACTACCCCCTAGCTAGACTACCCCCTAGCTAGACTACCCCCTAGCTAGACTACCCCCTAGCTAGACTACCCCCTAGCTAGACTACCCCCTAGCTAGACTACTCCCTAGCTAGACTACCCCCTAGCTAGACTACCCCCTAGCTAGACTACTCCCTAGCTAGACTACCCCCTAGCTAGACTACCCCCTAGCTAGACTACCCCCTAGCTAGACTACCCGCTAGCTAGACTACCCCCTAGCTAGACTACCCCCTAGCTAGACTACCCCCTAGCTAGACTGCCCCCTAGCTAGACTACCCCCTAGCTAGACTACCCCCTAGCTAGACTACCCCCTAGCTAGACTACCCCCTAGCTAGACTACCCCCTAGCTAGACTACTCCCTAGCTAGACTACCCCATAGCTAGACCACCCCCTAGCCAGACAACCCCCTAGCCAGACTACCCCCTAGCCAGACTACCCCCTAGCTAGAATACCCCCTAGCTAGACTACCCTCTAGCTGGACTACTCCCTAGCTAGACTACCCCCTAGCTAGACTACCCCCTAGCTAGACTACCCCCTAGCTAGACTACCCCCTAGCTAGACTACCCCCTAGCTAGACTACCCCCTAGCTAGACTACTCCCTAGCTAGACTACCCCCTAGCTGGACTACCCCCTAGCTAGACTACCCCCTAGCTAGACTACCCCCTAGCTAGACTACCCCCTAGCTGGACTACCCCCTAGCTAGACTACCCCCTATCCAGACTACCCCCTAGCTAGACTACCCCCTAGCCAGACTACCCCCTAGCTAGACTACCCCCTAGCTAGACTACCCCCTAGCTAGACTACCCCCTAGCTAGACTACCCCCTAGCTAGACTACCCCCTAGCTAGACTACCCCCTAGCTAGACTACCCCCTAGCTAGACTACCCCCTAGCTAGACTACTCCCTAGCTGGACTACCCCTAGCTGGACTACCCCCTAGCTAGACTACCCCCTAGCTAGACTACCCCCTAGCTGGACTACCCCCTAGCTAGACTACCCCCTAGCTAGACTACCCCCTAGCTGGACTACCCCCTAGCTAGACTACCCCCTAGCCAGACTACCCTCTAGCTAGACTACCCCCTAGCTAGACTACCCCCTAGCTAGACTACCCCCTAGCTAGACTACCCCCTAGCTGGACTACCCCCTAGCTAGACTACCCCCTAGCTGGACTACCCCCTAGCTAGACTACCCCCTAGCCAGACTACCCCCTAGCCAGACTACCCCCCTAGCCAGACTACCCCCTAGCTAGACTACCCCCTAGCTAGACTACCCCCTAGCTGGACGACCCCCTAGCTGGACTACCCCCTAGCTAGACTACCCCCTAGCTAGACTACCCCCTAGCTAGACTACCCCCTAGCTAGACTACCCCCTAGCTAGACTACCCTCTAGCTAGGACTACCCCCTAGCTAGACTACCCCCTAGCTAGACTACCCCCTAGCTAGACTACCCCCTAGCTAGACCTACCCCCTAGCTAGACCACCCCCTAGCTAGACTACCCCCTAGCTAGACTACCCCCTAGCTAGACTACCCCCTAGCTAGACTACTCCCTAGCTGGACTACCCCCTAGCTGGACTACCCCCTAGCTGGACTACCCCCTAGCTGGACTACCCCCTAGCTGGACTACCCCCTAGCTGGACTACCCCCTAGCTAGACTACCCCCTAGCTAGACTACCCCCTAGCTAGACTACTCCCTAGCTAGACTACCCCCTAGCTAGACTACCCCTAGCTAGACTACCCCCTAGCTAGACTACTCCCTAGCTAGACTACCCCCTAGCTAGACTACCCCCTAGCTAGACTACCCCCTAGCTAGACTACCCCCTAGCTAGACTACCCCCTAGCTAGACTACCCCCTAGCTAGACTACCCCATAGCTAGACTGCCCCCTAGCTAGACTGCCCCCTAGCTAGACTGCCCCCTAGCTAGACTGCCCCCTAGCTAGACTACCCCCTAGCTAGACTACTCCCTAGCTAGACTACCCCCTAGCTAGACTACCCCCTAGCTAGACTACCCCCTAGCTAGACTACTCCCTAGCTAGACTACCCCCTAGCTAGACTACCCCCTAGCTAGACTACCCCCTAGCTAGACTACCCCCTAGCTAGACTACTCCCTAGCTAGACTACCCCCTAGCTAGACTACCCCCTAGCTAGACTACCCCCTAGCTAGACTACCCCCTAGCTAGACTGCCCCCTAGCTAGACTGCCCCCTAGCTAGACTGCCCCCTAGCTAGACTACCCCCTAGCTAGACTACCCCCTAGCTAGACTACCCCCCTAGCTAGACTACCCCCTAGCTAGACTACCCCCTAGCTAGACTACCCCCTAGCTAGACTACCCCCTAGCTAGACTACCCCCTAGCTAGACTACCCCCTAGCTAGACTACTCCCTAGCTGGACTACCCCCTAGCTAGACTACTCCCTAGCTAGACTACCCCCTAGCTAGACTACCCCCTAGCTTGACTACCCCCTAGCTAGCCTACCCCCTAGCTAGACTACCCCCTAGCTGGACTACCCCCTAGCTGGACTACCCCCTAGCTAGACTACCCCCTAGCTAGACTACCCCCTAGCTAGACTACCCCCTAGCTAGACTACCCCCTAGCTGGACTACCCCCTAGCTAGACTACCCCCTAGCTGGACTACCCCCTAGCTAGACTACCCCCTAGCTAGACTACCCCCTAGCTAGACTACCCCCTAGCTAGACTACCCCCTAGCTAGACTACCCCCTAGCTAGACTACCCCTAGCTAGACTACCCCCTAGCTGGACTACCCCCTAGCTAGACTACCCCCTAGCTAGACTACTCCCTAGCTAGACTACCCCCTAGCTAGATTACCCCCTAGCTAGACTACCCCCTAGCTAGACTACCCCCTATCTAGGCTACCCGCTAGCTAGACTACCCCCTAGCTAGACTACCCCCTAGCTAGACTACCCCCTAGCTAGACTACCCCCTAGCTAGACTACCCCTAGCTGGACTACCCCCTAGCTAGACTACCCCCTAGCTAGACTACCCCCTAGCTAGACTACCCCCTAGCTAGACTACCCCCTAGCTAGACTACCCTCTAGCTAGACTACCCCCTAGCTAGACTACCCCCTAGCTGGACTACCCCCTAGCTAGACTACCCCTAGCTAGACTACCCCCTAGCTAGACTACCCCCTAGCTAGACTACCCCCTAGCTAGACTACCCCCTAACTAGACTACCCCCTAGCTGGACTACCCCCTAGCTAGACTACCCCTAGCTGGACTACCCACTAGCTAGACTACCTCCTAGCTAGAGTACCCCCTAGCTAGACTACCCCCTAGCTGGACTACCCCCTAGCTAGACTACCCCCTAGCTAGACTACCCCCTAGCAAGGACTACCCCCTAGCTAGACTACTCCCTAGCTAGACTACCCCCTAGCTAGACTACCCCCTAGCTAGACTACCCCCTAGCTAGACTACCCCCTAGCTAGACTACCCCCTAGCTAGACTACTCCCCAGCTGGACTACTCCCTAGCTAGACTACCCCCTAGCCAGACTACCCCCTAGCTAGACTACTCCCTAGCTAGACTACCCCCTAGCTAGACTACCCCCTAGCTAGACTACCCCCTAGCTAGACTACTCCCTAGCTAGACTACCCCCTAGCTAGACTACCCCCTAGCTAGACTACCCCCTAGCTAGACTACCCCCTAGCTAGACTACCCCCTAGCTAGACTACCCCCTAGCCAGACTACCTTCTAGCTAGACTACCCCCTAGCTAGAATACCCCCTAGCTAGACTACCCCCTAGCTAGACTACCCCCTAGCTAGACTACCCCCTATACTACCCCCTTGACTACCCCCTACACTACTCATTAGACTATTGCTACTAGTCATGTTAGTAGTAGTGGTAGCGATGGTGTAGTAGTGATGGTAGTGATGATGTAATAGTAGTGATGGTATAGTAGTAGTAGTGAAAGTGATGACGTAGTAGTAGTAGTGATAGTGATGATGTAGTAGTATTAGTAGTGATAGTGATGTAGTAGTAGTGATAGTGATGATGTAGTAGTGATGATGTAGTAGTAGTGATAGTGATCATGTAGTAGTAGTAGTGATAGTGATGATGTAGTAGTGATGATCTAGTAGTAGTAGTGATGATGTAGTAGTAGTGATAGTGATGATGTAGAAGTGATGATGTAGTAGTAGTAGTGATAGTGATGATGTAGTAGTAGTGATAGTGATGATGTAGTAGTAGTGATAGTGATGTAGTAGTAGTGATAGTGATGATGTAGTAGTAGTGATAGTGATGATGTAGTAGTGATGATGTAGTAGTGATAGTGATGTAGTAGTGATAGTGATGATGTAGTAGTGATGATGTAGTAGTAGTAGTGATAGTGATGTAGTAGTAGTAGTGATAGTGATGATGTAGTAGTAGTGATAGTGATGATGTAGTAGTGATAGTGATGATGTAGTAGTAGTGATAGTGATGATGTAGTAGTGATAGTGATGATGTAGTAGTGATAGTGATGTAGTAGTAGTAGTAGTGATAGTGATGATGTAGTAGTAGTAGTGATAGTGATGATGTAGTAGTGATAGTGATGATGTAGTAGTAGTAGTGATAGTGATGTAGTAGTGATAGTGATGATGTAGTAGTAGTAGTGATAGTGATGTAGTAGTAGTGATAGTGATTATGTAGCAGCAGTAGTGACAGTGATGTAGTAGTAGTGATAGTGATGATGTAGTAGTGATGATGTAGTAGTAGTGATAGTGATGATGTAGTAGTGATAGTGATGATGTAGTAGTGATGATGTAGTAGTGATAGTGATGTAGTAGTGATAGTGATGATGTAGTAGTGATGATGTAGTAGTAGTAGTGATAGTGATGATGTAGTAGTAGTGATAGTGATGATGTAGTAGTAGTGATAGTGATGATGTAGCAGCAGTAGTGACAGTGATGATGTAGTAGTGATGATGTAGTAGTAGTAGTGATAGTGATGTAGTAGTAGTAGTGATAGTGATGATGTAGTAGTGATGATGTAGTAGTAGTGATAGTGATGATGTAGCAGTAGTGATAGTGATGATGTAGTAGTAGTGATAGTGATGATGTAGTAGTGATAGTGATGTAGTAGTAGTAGTAGTGATAGTGATGATGTAGTAGTGATAGTGATGATGTAGTAGTAGTAGTGATAGTGATGATGTAGTAGTGATGATGTAGTAGTAGTGATAGTGATTATGTAGTAGTGATAGTGATGTAGTAGTAGTAGTGATAGTGATGATGTAGCAGCAGCAGTGACAGTGATGATGTAGTAGTAGTAATGATAGTGATGTAGTAGTAGTAGTGACAGTGATGATGTAGTAGTAATGATAGTGATGTAGTAGTGATAGTGATGATGTAGTAGTAGTAGTGATAGTGATGTAGTAGTAGTAGTGATAGTGATGATGTAGCAGCAGCAGTGACAGTGATGACATCGCTGGCGCTACCCGCAGGCAAGAAGTGCACCTACGGATCCAAGTGTAAGTTCCACCACCCGGAGCGGCCCAGCGTCGGATCGCAGCGCTCCCTGGCTGACGAACTCCGCTTAGCCGCAAGTCGGAGCGAACACACCGCCTCTACCGCCTCTACCGCCACCACCGCCTCCACCGCCTCCATCGCCACCGCCATCACCTCCTCCTCCACCACCTCCACCACCGCCTATCCCAGGCTTCCGCCCGGACATCACCATCACCATCACCACGATCCTCATCATCATCATCATCATCCCCCTCTTCATCAGCGCCACCACCGTCATCATCCGGCGGCGGCTTCGTCAGCCGCAGACTTTGCCTCTGGACGTTGCCGCCGCGGCGATGACGAGGATGAGGAGGATGAGGAGGAGGAGGCGGGGGAAGAGGTGGGGGTGGATGAGGAGGAGGAACTCTCCTCGGCCGCCAGTAGGATGACGATGAGGGTCGTGTCCGTGCAGCAGCATCAGCAGCTGCAGCATCAGCATCAGCAGCAGCTCCAGCTGCAGCATCAGCAGCTCCAGCCGCAGCAGCAGCCACAGCAGCATCATCAGCAGCTCCAGCAGCATCATCAGCAGCTCCAGCAGCATCATCATCAGCAGCAGCATCATCATCAGCAGCAGCATCGGCAGGCGCCGGCGAAGTGTCACCCGCCCATCACGGTGACCGACAGCCACGGCACGGCCGTGGTACTGCAATGCGACTCCCCCGTCGAGGACACGGCGGCCTCCACCTCCTCGGCGTCCACCTCCTCGGCGTCCACCTCCTCATCCTCCTCATCCTCAGCAGCAGCGGACCACTCCTCCTCCTCCTCCTCCTCCTCCTCCTCCTCGTGTCCTTGCTGCTGCTCCACAGCCGCCGCCGCCACCTCCAGAGTCATGTGTGGAGGTGGTGGAGGTGTTGGAGTTGGAGGAGGTGGTGGAGGAGGTGGAGTTGGAGTTGGAGGAGTTGGAGGAGTTGGAGGAGGTGGAGGAGGAGGTGGAGGAGGTGTTGGAGGAGGTGGAGGAGGTGTTGGAGGAGGAGTTGGAGTAGTTGGAGGAGTTGGAGGAGTTGGAGGAGGAGTTGGAGGAGGAGTTGGAGTTGGAGGAGGAGTTGGAGTTGTAGGAGTTGGAGGAGGAGTTGGAGGAGGAGTTGGAGGAGTTGGAGGAGTTGGAGGAGTTGGAGGAGGAGTTGGAGGAGGAGTTGGAGTTGGAGGAGGAGTTGGAGGAGTTGGAGGAGTTGGAGTTGGAGGAGTTGTAGGAGTTGTAGGAGGAGTTGGAGGAGTTGGAGGAGTTGTAGGAGTTGGAGGAGGAGTTGGAGGAGTTGGAGGAGTTGTAGGAGTTGGAGGAGTTGGAGTTGGAGTTGGAGGAGTTGGAGGAGTTGGAGGAGTTGGAGGAGTTGTAGGAGTTGGAGGAGGAGTTGGAGGAGTTGGAGGAGTTGTAGGAGTTGGAGGAGTTGGAGTTGGAGTTGGAGGAGTTGGAGGAGTTGGAGTTGGAGGAGTTGGAGGAGTTGGAGTTGGAGTTGGAGGAGTTGTAGGAGTTGGAGGAGTTGGAGGAGTTGTAGGAGGAGTTGGAGGAGTTGGAGGAGGAGTTGGAGGAGTTGGAGGAGGAGTTGGAGGAGGAGTTGGAGTTGGAGGAGGAGTTGGAGGAGTTGGAGGAGTTGGAGTTGGAGGAGTTGTAGGAGTTGTAGGAGGAGTTGTAGGAGTTGTAGGAGGAGTTGGAGGAGTTGGAGGAGTTGTAGGAGTTGGAGGAGGAGTTGGAGGAGTTGGAGGAGTTGTAGGAGTTGGAGGAGTTGGAGTTGGAGTTGGAGGAGTTGGAGGAGTTGGAGGAGTTGGAGGAGTTGTAGGAGTTGGAGGAGGAGTTGGAGGAGTTGGAGGAGTTGTAGGAGTTGGAGGAGTTGGAGTTGGAGTTGGAGGAGTTGGAGGAGTTGGAGTTGGAGGAGTTGGAGGAGTTGGAGTTGGAGTTGGAGGAGTTGTAGGAGTTGGAGGAGTTGGAGGAGTTGTAGGAGGAGTTGGAGGAGTTGGAGGAGGAGTTGGAGGAGTTGGAGGAGGAGTTGGAGGAGGAGTTGGAGGAGTTGGAGGAGTTGTAGGAGTTGTAGGAGTTGGAGGAGGAGTAGGAGGAGTTGGAGGAGTTGGAGTTGGAGGCTTCCCCGTCGATGCGGACCTCCTGGCGTTTTACGGCCACGCAGGAATGGACCCCGCCGCTACTCCCGCCACCGCCTCAACCGGTTGCGGCGGTCTCGCCGGTTGCGGCGATCCTCATCATCCTCCTCATCATCCTCATCATCCTCATCATCATCCTCATCATCCTCATCAGCAGCAGCAGCAGGCGGAGTCGCGCCCCTACCTGCAGCCGTTTGCCCACGGCTTCCACGCGCCCGTGTCCCGCGTGCAGAGCCACGGGGCGGACTTCCTACGGGCGGCCGCCGCTGCCGCCGCTGCCTCCACCGCCTCCTCCGCCACCGCCGCCGGCGGAGGAGGCGGAGCTACGGCGGGAAGAGGCGGAGCCACCGCGGGAAGAGGCGGAGCCGCCGCGGTAGTGCCTGCCCCTACCACCGGTGGCAGCGGTGCCGGACTGCACCCTGTGGGAGCGGTGG